GACGATGAGAATCGCTTCTAACAAAGTCCCTGCTTCAGACATGCGTCCTGGTGGCTAGTGATGCTGTTGCGACACTCCATCTCCTGGCACTGGGTGCCCTGCAGCTCTTCATGTTGAACGCTGGGTGTTTACAGTATCCCACCGCGACGATTGCAGGCCATTTCTTGAGACTTTCGGGGATCGTATGTTCGTGCCGAGTGGCCCCGTCCTCGGCTTTGTCCGAGAAGCTGTGAGGACAGTTTGGCTGTTTTATGTGGTGAGGCAGGGTTCCATTTCAAGCTCACGAGCCTGCTGCGTCAGCCTCGGGGCAGAGCTACATTGGCATGCATCCTGGGTGCTTACCACCCTATGCGGCCAGATGAAACGGGTCGAGCTAGCTGATTTCATGTCCTGCCCCGGATAGAACTCGGACTGATTCCTGCTTAGAACACACGTGCACGCAGCACAACGCAAAGCCACAGGCCTCCGTGAGGCGACGCCAAGGCAAACGCCCCAGTACTTTACTTTTTGGCTTCGCGAGCCAACGCTGCCCGCGCTCTGGATGCGCCGAGGTTCGTTGGAAATCCCAGGGCATAGCGAGACAGGTTTGGATGAGGCCATAGAAAGAACACTGAGCTGATGTACCGCACAGTTCCTCTGAATTGACCAGGGCATGACCGGCGAAGAGCACCAGGTGCTGTCGAAAGAGAGGGTTTCGGCTGTGCCCGGAGTTGGAAACCTCGAGATATGACGGGGGTGTCACATCGGAAAGTGTTAGAACATGGAACTGCCACTCTTAGGCTTCTGAGTTGGCTCGCCCTCCTTTGCTGGAGTCTTCCCAGATTGACGCGGACGAGCTACTGTACCAGGCTGCCGATGCGTGGGCGACCTGGACGGGGTCTGCGGCCCTTGTGATGAAAGGGTGAGACGGTCCATTTTAGCAGGGGCGCGGCAACACTTAGATGGACATGAGTTCGGCCAGGGGGGCCGTGCCGGCACGGCAAAAAGCTGCGGCGGTTCAGAATTTCAAAATACGATGCACCAGACCGGACCGATAGAACAGGGCAAGTCTGTGATACATTACCATACCGAGCTAGTTACATTGACTCAGCTGCTTGTCGCAGAGGTGGAGCTCCCACGGTTCGACCTCCACGGCACGTCTTTCCAAGCCACGGCGGGAGGTTCATTTCACCTGTGTTGCACGGGCTGATGCGGGACTCTTTGCCCGGATGCTGAAAGCTGGATGCAGACACATCGCAGGGCGGGCTCGGACCACTGACGTTGATTTCTGCTTGGTGGTCCGTCGACACCGTCATGGCAGATGTCTCGGCTGTCCGTGCAGCAGTACACAGAGTATGCACTCTGTGCGAGCTGCCGCATGTGTCAGACGGCAGCCATGTGATCTGAAGGTTCGGGGCCCACGTGGGCTGTGGGGTTGTGCAGCGCTGCTTGCCTCAGAGACTCTCGGCCGCATCCTGCTGTGATTCCTGATGCACCAGTCAGCACATCGGGACCAGCAAATCAAGACAAAGAGCTTTCAAATTCTGCTTCTGGAGTGAAGGCATGTGCAATTGCAGTGTGTATAGTCGTCGTCGTACATAGCAGATGCTGCAGTATTCTCTGTGCTCTGCGTAGTGGTGGTGGTAGTGGCAGCGGCAGCGTAGTAGTAGTAGTAGTAGTAGTAGTAGTAGTAGTAGTAGTAGTAGTAGTAGTAGTAGTAGTAGTAGTAGTAGTAGTAGTAGTAAAGGAGTAGTAGTAGTAGTAGTAGTAGTAGTAGTAGTAGTAGTAGTAGTAGTAGTAGTAGTAGTAGTAGTAGTAGTAGTAGTAGTAGTAGTACTAGTAGTAGTAGTAGTAGTAGTAGTAGCAGCAGCAGCAGCAGCAGCAGCTGCAGCAGCAGCCTAAGGTTCAGCTTATTTGTCTTTTGTTGCCCATTCTTACCAATTTCACTGAGATAGCCGGCCTATGTAGGTCGTCCAAAGGAAGCCACGCAAAGACGTCTTCGGATGTTTGCGCTTCGAGCGAGAGAGAGAGAGAGAGAGAGAGAGAGAGAGAGGGGACCCCAACAACGCCAGAGGAGACCGAAGAGCCACAGAAGCAAGCCCCTCTGCGGGGGGCGGACCACACACAGGAACAGCGCACCCACGACCCACACCGGCACCGAGACCTGACCAGCCGCAACAACACGAGCCAGCACCGGCACCCACCCCCGGGGAGGAAGAGACAGACGAAGCATCACACATGCAGCAGGCGGCCAGCTACACGAGGGTAGCAGAGGGAAGCCATGGCACGCAGCAAGGACGGCCCGTGACAGATGCAGCCTGGGCCCGGCCGGCCCTGACGCCGACGGCCACCATGATCCGGCACTGGCTTAGGCAGATCCGGGACGTGCTTGAGATGCAAGGGGGCACGCATGCAGCCGTGGAAGTAGCCGAACACCTTCTGCTCCTTCTGGACGACGACAGAGAGGGGGCAGTGCAGCCAACAAAAGAACACGCGGAACCGGATCCATGCGCTGAGCCGGCACCGAAGAGGCGCAAGTATATAGACTACCTGGGGATAGTGTACATGCGGCTGCTGGACATAGGGAACGAGGAGTACAGCACGGAGGGGATCAACCAGCACTGCGTGATCGGCTCGCTGGGGGAGATCGTGAACGAACTGCGCAAAACCCAAGAAGTGCTGAACCTGCTGGTGGCAGACCAGTGGGGAACTCAAGTGCAAGCGAGCTATGCCGGCATACAACAAGCCATGGCGGCAGTCCAGACGGCACAAGGTTCCGCCGTCAGGGGAGACCTCGACTGGGTCACAGAAGGCTGGGGACAAGCAGTGGCCGTGCTGCTCGAGGACGCCAGGGACCTCATAGCGGAAGAAGAGACCCTGAATATAGCTCACCCTGCCGACGTCGTAGCGATCGACAATGGAGCCAACGAAGCGCCAGCCCTACCAATGGGGGACGGCGCCAAGCTACGAACTCTGGCGGGACGCTGCGTGGCGTTGAGCCACATGTTGGGGAGCCTGACCCCCATGGTGCAGCCTCCCCTGCTGCACATGCAAAGCCTGACATGGCGGTGGACACCCAAACCACCGAGGAAGGGGAACCGCAGACAGGGGACCAGCGAAAGCCAGACGAACAGGGGGCAGCTGCAACAAGTGCAGACCCAGCCCGACCCATGCAAGAAGGATCTGGCCCGTGGGTGCCACCGCTGCACGGGGAACAGTGGCCGGGCAGCGTGCCGAGCTCGGACGATGGGGGCGACCATGAAGACCGACAGCCTCCAAGCAGCCAATGGGGGCCCAGCGATGATGACCTTGTGGCAGCCATGGAAGAGTTGGAGAGACAGCAAGAGGAAGAGATGCGGAGCCAAGCCATGGTCGGGGACACCGTAGCCGATCCACCGGAAGCAGACCTGAGCGAGGGGGAGCGCAGTTACCGAAGCCATAGACGCAGGCGCATGCATGCGGCTTGCTACGATCGTCATGGGGGTTTTTGGCACCCGGGGGACCCCGTGATCCATGTGTAACCTAGCTTGTACGTCGAGCCAATCGTGTTTGCAAAGGGGAGCCAGAGACCTGCCAGAGCCACTAGACAATAGGGGGACAAGCCAGGACAATAAGTAATACCACATGCTTGAAGTCATGAGTTGTGTGTTGCCGTGTGCGAGCGGTTGTCCTTGGCGCGGCCCTCAGAGTGCTAACAGTGTGCTGTGTTGCCAACAGTATGTGATGTGTTGTACATGCCTTAGGGTAACACCTTTTTGGGGACAGCACAGCTGACCAACGCTGGTGGGCGTACAGAAACCACACAGCAACCCCCGAATAACGGGGGAGAGGAGGCCAGAGGCCGGGGTTTTGGTGGCATGTGTAAAGGGTGTAAAGGGGGGTTCAACGGTGCCGGGCCAGTCCTCAGTTTTCTGCCAGTGTCACACAGACTATGAGACCGGTGCGCCTTCGGGCGCGGGGAGCGCTCGCGTGCTCCTTTGTCCGATTGCAAGCAAGACAGAGAGAGAGAGAGAGAGAGAGGCAGCGTAGCCATTTTGGCTCAAGTGCCACACCTTGTACTTGGGGGTCTGTTCGCCCTCTTGTGCCGGGGGGGAGAGGCAGGGGGTTACTCTGGGCTGTTACCCCGGAGGAGCCACCTTCGCCTTGACCCAGTGGTGCTTGAGTCTCCGCCCGCTGCCGTCTTGCTTAAGAGGCCCCTTTGCCAGCGCACCCTCCCGAACCTGACCGCGGCCCCTCCTCCGGGAGGGTGGCCCGCCAGTAGGGGGACGGAGCATACTTCAGCACTGTGGACCACGGGGAGACCTTGTCCTACTACCACCTCACGATCCATGTCGAGCTCTTCAAGATCCAAGCCGGGGGGGACAGACAGCCCCAGAGGTGGAAGAAGCCGAATAGAGAGAGACCCATCGGCAAAGCCAGGCAGAACCAAGACGACCTGGCAGGAGCAGTGTGCAGTCGCGGAGAAACTTAAGGCCATGGGGGTGACATGTCGAGCATGCCTTGAAGGACCTTTTTGCCACAAAAGCCACGACAGTGGCGCCTCATGCTACAAGCAACGCGTTGCCACGGGGGGGATCGCCAGCACGGCGGCACCCAGCAACATACGGAAGCAGAGGGACGTGGCTGATGAGCATGACCTCTACCAACCCGAAGGGGGAGGGACTTGCGAAGTCGCGGGGAGGACAAAGCCCTACTCCGACTACGTTCGCTTCGAGACTGAAAAGGGGAGAGCTCTCCTGTACGAACCAGACCCGCTGGACCGGTGGATCGGGAAGAACATCAAGAAGAACTGGAAAACGGGGAAATACAAAGACCGCATAACGGGGGAGATCCTCGACGAAGCCAACACTCAGGAGTGGGAGCAATATGTGCAAAGGCACAATGCGAGAAGAGAGACCGGAAGACAAGCCGACAAACTCGTCGACATAGTCCAGGAGGGGAACCCAAAGATCGTCGCGGAGCTCCTTTGGTATATAGCCAAACACCCGTGGAAGGTGGGGGCGATGCTAAGCCAAGCAAAGCAATGCTACAAGAACCAACCCACAACACCCACGGAGGGGGTGAAGGGCAGCAAAGCCGAGAAAAAGGGGGACAAGACGGAGAAGAAGGACCGGGACAAGAAGGACCACAAAAAGACCAAAAAGTTGAAGAAGGACAAGAAGGCCAACCAACGCGCAGTGGAGAAGAAGCGGACCAAGCGTGAGATAAAGGCGGGGAGCTCAACAGACACAGCTCACGAGGGGAAGCGGATCAAGCATGAGATGAAGGCGGGGAGCTCAACAGATATAGCCCGCGTGAACCCGACTGCGGAAGCCACGGAGAGCTTCAAAGAAGAGGAAGTGGACTGGGGCGACGATGAGGAGAAGACGACGACAACCGAAAAGCCGAGCACCGTGGGGGGCTCGAACAGTTCCACGGATGCTGGGGCGCGACCATCGCTACCAAGCCGCAGCCCAAGACAACGAGACCGAGGACGAGGTGGGGAAAGACGACCGGGGGGCACACAACGCGACCCCAACCAGGTCCGACTACTACCTGGACCCATGTGGCGTGCTGTGAGACGTGTACAAGCGCATATGCGGGGTGATACCACGACGTGACCTACAAGCAATGAGCGGGGGAAGTTTTTTCAACAGTCTTTCTGCGAGCTTACAATGATGAGCTTAATTCAAGACGGGCCGCTGGAGCCATTCCGACTAACTACCAACAGGGCCACACGCCCTTGCACTTGCACAAATTGGCATTGCGTCAGAGACTTGCCGACACCACTTTGGGGGATGACCTTTTCGCTCAGCTTTTCAATAGAAACCTAGATGGAAGCTTTTGCAACGGGGGAGTCAGCCCACGACTGTGTTCTTACTACATTATAGTCGTTGCTCGGCCCTTAGAGTGTTGTGGTTTTTTGGGAGGCGACCACCGTTTGCCAGACCATAGTGGGGGATTTTGCCTGTCGCAGGAACTTAGGACTTAGCCTTAGGGGGCGCGGCGATGAGGCCGGGACGCGGGCTAAAGTTCAGGGTTAGGGGGGGGTTCCTGCCAGGCAAACTCCACAGCTCACACAAACCTTTGTCTTTGTTTCCCGACCTTTGACCCCACAAGCCTTCTCTACCACCACCGCGTGGGGGAGAGGGGGGCCTAAGGCCCGGGTCCGCCTGGCGGACTCAACCCTCGGAGCCGAGCCGAGCCGAGAGAGAGGCAGCAGCACAAGCAGCAGCAGCAGCAGTAGCAGCAGCGGCAGCAGCAGTAGCAGTGGCAGCTGCGGTAGTGGTACTTGTAGTGGCCACAGTAATTGATTACTTAGTAGTTCTTGTAGTGGTAGTGGTGGCAGTAGCAGCACAAGCAGCAGTCGCACTAGCAGTAGCAGTAGCACTTGTAGTAGCAGCAGTAGTAGCAGCATTTAGTATAAGTAGTACAAGTGTAAGTATTCAGTAGTAAGTATCAGTAGTAGTAAGAGTAGTAGCAGCAGTCGTCGCTGTAGTCGTAGTAGTAGCAGTAGCAGTAGTCGTGGTGGTGGTAGCCGCCGTCGTGTTAGTCGCATTGAAGGTATAGTAGTAAGTAGTAGTTGTCGCGGCAGGTGCAGTTGTCTTGGCTGTCGTCGTCATAGTAGTTAGCAGTACTTGTTCTTGGTTTTGGGTGTTGGTTGTTGCTGTAGTTACCGTTTTGCAGTGTGTTTGAAGCCGTGGTTCGATAACGTCACGGTACCCACAGTCCAACGATGATACTTCTCTGTTTTCGGCCAGTAGCGAGAAGCCAATGCGTTCGGCCAGGCCGCTGAAGAATCAGGACTCGATGCTGCCTCCTTTCTTCTGTTCCGAGGTGTCAGTTGGGGTCTGTATATATATATATATATATATAACATGCAGATCGGACATGACAATGCAAGGTCTGGTTGCCGTGAATCTGCAGCGTTAGACGTCTCAGAAGGCAACGCTGCGCAATGTTAGCAAACCGTGCAACCATATGGGCCATTCGAGCAGAAAGACCAGCATATAAGAGGACTGCATGCCAACAAAGGGATTCTACAACCACTTTAATCAAAGAGCGGTCCTTTGATCGCATTCGTGTGCTTTGCTTCCCTTCCCGGTCTCTATGTTCGAGGCAGCGGAAAGCCATGGCGAGCGACAAGCAAGTCCTAGCAGCGATAACCATGAAGATTGGAGGCGATGTCCGCTATTTCGAGCTGATTCAGCTGACCTGTGGAGATGATCGCCGAAAGTGCTATGTCTGTGTCGGAAAGCACTCGCTATTCTTCCTGAGGCAAGACCTGAATGGGCCCATCCATGATGGTGCAGATGTCTACTACAGCTCCATTGCCAAAGTACTCCAGGATGAGAATTCCGACCAGCATTGCCTGCTGTCATTGACGGAAGAGCTACCAGGATGGCCCTCCGACAGGTTGTTCCTGAAAGCTGAAAACCGCTCCCTTTTCTTGCGACACTTCCGTTGCAATTGGCAGACGGACCACATGTGGCGGCTAGGTCGGGTAGTGATTTTCCCATTAAGCGTTCATCCAATTACGAAGGAGACTTCTTACGATAATTACGTCGCACCATACCAGGGATATCGCTGGACAAAGTTCCAGGGATACCGTTTCATGGTGCCAGAAGGTTTTGTTGACCAGGCTAACTCTATTCAGGAAGAGGAGACTGGAGAGTATGTGAACGAACAAGGCGTCAGCCTTGTTGTTCATGTGCATGAGGCTTTTAGTCTCGAGCAACTCTCGCAAATGAATCGCGACAACATTCGATGGGTCGCAGCAGACTACAAGATGCAACTATGTGCTCAAGAAGCGCAGTTTTACGTCTTGAAAAATGCGCCAAGGGACAAGCACATGAATCTTTCCGCGGATGTCGCGCAGTGGCACCAGTGGGAGCTGCTGATCCGTACGCGATCGGCAACGATCATCTGTCTCATTATGCGTCGGCAGTACATTCCACCGGTTTGCTGCGCTGCACAAGACATTGCTGTCCTCCTTCGCTGCCCGGAAGAAGAGTGGAAGCGCGCAGAACTTCCTCTGGTGCTGGAAGCGTACCGAATTGCTGATTCGCTCTGCACAGACGCTCCGAACGTTTCAGTGTATCGTGACATGGTACAAGCCAAATTGGACACGCTGCGGTTCAACGAAGAAGGGGCGGAGTGGGCGGCTGCACACCTGAAGCTGAAGTCGTGCTGGGAAGTCGAGGCAGTGAGGTTTGTGAAGAGCCTCTGGAAGCTGTACTGCGATGACAAGGTGGAAGGCTACGACCCTCAAGTCCTGGAGCTTTCCGCTCAAGAAGTACTGGTGGATGCAGGCCCTGAGGATCAATGGGGCCAACTAGAATGCATTGACAATTTTCACGACTTCTTCCTCAAGCTGATGAAGGAGGGAGAGGGTCTTCCGTCAGGCGTTCAGGCGGAGACCCTTGACGAAGAGGCCATTCAGCCGCTACTGTAGCAGGATGTGTCCGTGTCATGCATGTGCATGTGCCTATAGCGGTCGAGAGGGCTTTTCTTGCTGAGCCTTCTGGCCAGGGTGAGCCGACAAGTCGAGTCTGCCTCCAGCAAGCTAAGGCCAAACTAAAGATCCAGCACAGCTGGCTTGCCCGCATTGCCCGCTACTTCGCTTGGGCGGTCGATGGTGGGCTCTTGGGTGCGCGCTTCAACTTGGACCTGATGATCGAAGGACCCGGTGATGTAATGCAGGGATTGAGACAGCGAGTCACACAACGGACGCACACCTGCACGCAGGGCATGCGTGCGTGAGTTGCGCCATGCGGAGGACTTTCTGCATTGACAGAAGAGAGCTACAAAAAGGCCTATGCCGCATTCTTGTTCCTCTTGCATCTTCGAACCCGTGACATGACCAAGCCTTTCTTGGAAGTGAGCCTGACGCAGCAGATGAGGGGTCGAAATTTGAGCCAATGGACCTTCAACGATAGGGTAATGCTGGCAGTCCTTAGCACCGACTTCCTCAAGAAGCAGATAGGGAAGGGTCGGGACGCGGATTTCTTTCGCTGCTTGGCAAACCTGTTGGAGGCGAGCTGTGGGGTGACTTTAAAGGCATACATCTGCAGGTTGTTCATGGAGATGAAGGCATCGCGGGAAGCGGATACAAAGAAGGATGACGACTCCTCTGCAAATCTCATCGTTGTTCCTGCGATGCTCTCCTTGCTTAGGACCGGGGGAACTTTCCTCGCCACATATGCTTCCGCGGCCTTGGTAAACTTGAGCAGTGGAAACCAGGCGGTGAAGATGCTCCTCATGGGCCAGGGGATGGCAAAGCTGGCAGTGCAGAACATGCAAGCCAAGGAAGATGACCTGAGTTATTACACCTTGATGTTAATGGTGAATTTGACGAAGGAGCCCCACAATCGCAGCGTCATCGCTTCAGCGGGTCTTATACCGATCCTCTATGATATATTGACTTCTTCGTATGCGCAGGTTCGGCCCACCGGCAAAAAGGCACAAGGAATAAGTACAGCGGCCTTGGGAAGCATCGCCAAGGAACGGCTGCTCACTCAAACCTGCATTGTGATCGGCCAATTCTGCAACGACGACCGCTTCCGGGAGCAGTTTATCGCCTCTTGTCTGCACTTGCTTTTCTGCGGGTGTGGCATTCATGCAGATACCAAAGGGTGCGGGCGACGCTTCTTTACTGCAAGCCCTGCTGTGCTACCTTTAAACCTGGCGGTCGAGCATTGTGACAGATGCAGGACAGGACATGACGGTAAAGAGGCCTTGCCTGTTTGGAAGAAGTGGATGGCTCGGTGACACAGAGTGCTACCACCCAGGACCTGCACGCAGACAGAATGTAGGGCTTGCATCGAAAGGCAAAATCAGCTCGACGAACATTCGCGCAACGGCCGTCACAACTACTCTGACTACTCTTGCTTGAGGCAACCATATGATGTACCGTACTCACAGCTGAGATGTGGTGTCACTCTTTTGGTTTGGTTCGTGTGAAAGGAGATTCAAGCCGAAAAGTTGAAGGAACAGACACAGATCTCGAAGCACAGGAAGTCCAGCTACGGTGCATCTGAGCCTCTGCTCAGGACATTTACCCCCACACGGCGAAGTGCTTGATGTACATCTTCAACACTGTCCGGATGGGGTGCACGCTGTGCAGCAAGGTCATGTTTGCTCTGAAGCAGCTGTGTGCGAGTCGAAACGACCAAAAGCACTACGTCGGGACACGGGCGATACCTCACCTAATTGAAGGCTTGAAGGACCACGACACGGGATACACGGACATGAACCTGGAATTCGTCTACCAGTCCTTGCTGCTGCTCATCATGCTCGCGGGGCTCCCAGCAAATTGCGAGCTTATGTACAAAGAGGGCTTGGTGCCTGTCTTGGAACAGCTTAGCAGCCACCCTTCTGCAAAACGCAGCGATGGCTTTCATGCGCGTGTTTCCATTCTTCTCCATAGCATGAGCGACATAGCGGCTGCCGACAACCGTTGATGAGGAAAAGTCTCATCGGGGCTTGTGCAGCTCCCGGAAGGCAGCACTTGCCTTGTTAATGCCTTGTACAGAAGACATCCGTAAGGACAGCCTGATTAACTCGCTGACTCCCATACGGTCCAGAGTGACGAAGCGAATCAGCGACGGAAGCAGATTTTCTGATGGGCCATGGCAGTCTCCGAACCCAAGACTGTACACTTTTCGTGGAGGCAGTGTTCGGTCATCCCCAGTTATACATGGAACTGTACAACTTCCTAGATTTGACTGTCGAAGACAAGCAGGAGCAGCAAAGCTGGTTCCTTCGACGCTGGGCGCGGAGCTCAAAGATTGTGGATTTCCTGGTTCTGCACAGTTCAGGCGATGCATTTTGCCTATCGATGCTGTCTGTCTTCCAGTCTGCACAGGAAGACAGAGGGGAAGGCTGTCAGCAAGATGTGTATGGGTTGGGTGCTTCAAGGATTCGGCAAGAACGACACAACACATCTGGTCAACATTTTCGTCCTAGGTTTGGACTGCGCTACAGACCGATGCCAAGCACCTTTGGCAGCTTGAAGCGGAGTCCATCAAGGCCCGTGCTGTTGTCGCGAATTCTAACATTCCTTCGCGTCTTGGATGTTTGAAGTTTGGGGGCATGCTCAAAGTTGGCGAGACAAGGAACATGCGAATGAAATCTACGTGTGCTGTCTCAGCTGGGTATGCTGCAGCTATGCTTATTCGCCTAATGAATGGCTTAACAGAAGCCTCACTCAAAACCCTTGCTTGGACAGCACCTTTGCAACCTTTCTGAAAGAAGCCAGACTGGCTCTTCGCAGTGACCACTGTACTCACGTTGCGCAAGAGAGAGATAAGATACACTCAACCGGTGCGCTGGCAGGTCTGTGTAGGTCTTTGAACAAGCAACTGAGGCTGGGGCCATCATTACGCGGTTGATTATTGTGTTCTGCGCTCTAGCTGCATGTATTCGGCCGATGGCCGAGCTGGTCGGGCCCCTTGCTGCGCTTGGCGGGTCGTCTCCCTCAGAGGTGAGGGATGGCCTCGTGCAACTGCTCACTGTCTTGAAAAGAGCAAGGAAAGAGGACGTCCTGGAAGCATCCGTTTCGGAGCATGTTGCAACTGCCATGGAGAAACAGTCGGCTAGCCCGGAAGTGCAGCGTTGGGCGGCGGCCGTCTTGCAAGAGTTGTTCCAAAGGTTTGAACATGTTGGCCAGAGAGATCTTGAGTTGCTGCTCCGAGCAGCGGGTGTGCATGCAAAGATAGTGGATGTTCAGCGCTGGTGCTTTTCCGCGCTTCTCTGTGCTCTCGAAATTTCAGGAACGGATGAGCACTCTGACAGCACAGTGATTGCTTGCACTTTGTTACAGGAGGGTGTGCTGGGCTTGCTCGCCGCTGCTTTCCAGGACCACGAGTCGCCTTCGTTGATGGAACGGGTGGCTTCCCTCTTGGCAGCATTGGTCCTGGAAGGGGGGGATGATGCCGCCGATGAAGCCACGAAAACCGGTTGCTTGGCTGCCGCCCTTACCACCTTGAAACTGACCGCGGGAAACACGACAGACACACTGGAAGAGATGTCTGCACTGGTGGCAGATGTGCCTCTTCAAGTCGCATGCTTGCGTGTTCTCTGGGCTGTCTGTGAGTCAAACGGTGAGCTGGGTGCGACGGAGATTGCGGCTAAAGATGGCTTGGACATTATCGTATCGATCTTGCAGCAGAGCGGACGAGCCTCGGACGTGTGCAAGTGGGGCGCAAGCGTGTTTCAGGCACTTTTTGCACATGGAGGAGAGCTCGTTGTTGAGGCAGCAGTGCAGTCGGAAGTGGCAGAAGCCTTGGTCATGGCCTTGGCACACAGCCTAAATGACCTTGAGATCGTTGAGAGATGTGCAGCTGCTCTGGCAACTATGTCGGCACATAGTGACGAGGCCGGACTTGCAGTGGTGGAAGCGGGGGGTCTTGGGGCAGTTGAGGAGGCCGTTGAACGCCACGGCCGCGAGGGCGATCTCTTTGACTGGTACCTCGCGCTCCAGCAGAGTATCGAGAGCCACGCGGAGGCCGAAAGTCCCAGTGGCCCAGGCAGTCCGGCCCCGGAAGTGGAGATCGAGTTCTGAAGCGTGCGGCGAGCTGGCTTCTTGCTTTCATTGCGATCCGAAGTTTGCCTAAAGTGGCAGGCGAAAGGATGTCAAGGGAGTCTGGATCCATGCAAATTATGCCCTGCTGCCGGTGACAGCAGTCTGATGTGAGAGGTCCGCAAGAGCGCACCGCCGCTTCCGCGGGACCTTCCTTGCTTGAAGCCATGTCCTGAGATGGTGAAGGGCAAATGGATTTGTGAAATTTTGGTGTTGCCTCTTGGAATCTGTTGGCTTGCCTCTTAGCCTGTGAGGCCGGACGCGATGGAGCTGCCCTCGTGGTTTCCCGATTCACATCTCAGGGTTGGCCTTCTGCCAAAGCCCGGGGTCCCAGGATGTTGAGACTTGAGACGACAGCGGGGAGCGCGGACTGATTGGCTTGCTGCTCAAATGTTTGCCAGTGTGTATTGGAAACACTTTTCGAGATGAGTTGACTGTAGTGACCCTGCAGTGACTGTCGAGTGGGAGCTGAGAGGGTTAGAGCCGCAGCTTTGGCCGGCTCCTACCGGGCCTACGGCCCTGTACGCGTCCTTCACCCAGATGCGATTGTAGATGGCTCTGCCATGACCGGTCGCCAGCTGAGCTGCAACTCTTCTACCACGCCATGAAACTGCGAATTGGTGCCGTCACCAACTGAGCCTGGAGCTGAGGTGCATGATCGGGCTCCCAGGTGAGATCCCCGAGGGGGGATCCGGGGAAGCCTCGCCCAGCAGCTCTCATGGATCGCCTTCGGAGGGCGATCCGGCATTCAATGTAGATCGATTAATACACAAATGGTGCCACAGGCTGGGGGGTAGTCCGTGTGTCGGGTTTTGGTTGGTCGTTACTGGAGTCGTTAGAGCGGTCCTAGCAGCATGCCTTCGCTCCCTCATGCCCACTTTATCTGTCATGGCAGGCAACTTAGCGATCTGCTGAGCAAGCTTTCCCTTGAGCCGGAGGGCGCACCTTTTCTGGTGCCGGTGAACTGGCAGGAACTGGGCTTGAATGATTATCCAGACATTGTTGAGACACCCATGGACCTCCACACAATTAGCAAGCGCCTCAACATGGGACATTACGATGATGTGGATGGCCTGATCGATCCTGAGCTGATGTTCAAGGACGTTTCTCTTTGTTGGGACAACTGCATGAAATATTTTGAAAATGACGCCGAAGTTGAAGCGGTGCAGATGGCTCTGGCCATGTCATCTGCAGCCGCGATCTTGGAAGGAGAGTTTTGGGCTGATCTCATGTCATTCGAAGAATCCCTTGAGAAGAGCCCGTTCAAGGCCCGGCTGGCCATAGCTGCTGCCATTATGGGAGATAATGTCAAGAAAGTAGCGAAGCGGAGCCGGCGCAAGACCACTGTCCTTGCCAATGACATGGTCAAGTATGCGGCGGACTGGTGGCAAGGAAGCCGCCATGAGTCGCCCTTCTGGAGCTCGCACCACCGCGATCACTTGATCGGTCGGGCATGGCCATCGCGGTTCAAGCGCGCCATTGCTGTTGTCCGGGAGACCGTTCGCAGAGTTCCTTTGCTTCTCGACAATTCTTGCATGGCTGTGGCTGCCATCTAGGAATCCAGCATTTTTCTTTTCCAATCTGATCGTGCTTCGAAGATACTACAGTCAAATTGTTTTCTGCACGTCCGCTTCTGTTTGCTCTGGCCCAGGTCCCTTCTCAGCTCTGAGCAGGCCATTCAAACGTTCCTGAAGCCACTGGCAGAGTCAATCTTGCGGACAGCGTCGTCCTTGTCCATGCCATCAGGCCATCGGGGTTTTGCCCACAAATGTAGCAGCATGTAAGCGGGCTTGGGGATTGATCCATTCATGCCAATTTTATGTGTTTCGTTCAGGAGTTCGCATTGTGCACGACACCATTGCTGACGTCCGTGGTGAGTGGATCCTGCCAGATTCCGTTGAGCCACGCGCTCATGTGGAGCAGGTCCTCGTGTGGGCTCATGGTGGTGGCTTCGTTCTTTGCTCCCCCGCCACACACCGCTTCTTCCTTGCGAAGATCGTCGTGCACACAGGCGTGCCGACTTTTTGCGTCAACTTCCGCCAGCCTCCAAGCCACCCTTTCCCGGTGCCGAAAAACGATGTCATCCAGGCATACAAGGGCATCCTCAAGAGCGGCATTGCAGATGTCATCTTCCTTGGTGGCGACAGTGCTGGAGGCAACCTTGTTCTCTCGCTTACGCAGGAGCTGGCCAAAGATGCAGAGAGTATCGAGAACTCTTTGCCACTACCGGAGGGTTTGATTCTACTATCTCCTTGGGTGGACTTGTCCGACACAACCGAGGAGTCTTGGCAAAAATATGCAGATGTGGACTACATCCCGGCGAAGCAAGCCGAGGTTATAGCAGGGATTTATGCCAAAGGCATCCCGCTTGAAGATGTTCGGGTTTCACCAGGTCGCTGCAAACGTTGGCCCACGTCGTTTCCAAGAACTTTATTGGACTACGGTGGTTGTGAGGTTTTCCGGTCGCAGATTGAGCGGCTGGCCAGCCACATGAAGAGACATGGAATTGAGCTGGATGCCTCAGTAGAGCACGGCATGGTTCATTGCTATCCTCAACTCGAGCACCTTTGGGGTCCTGACCCAGGTGGACCTTTTGACAAGTATTTCCAACGTGTTTCGACCTTCATGGCGATGAAGTATTTTTGATAGTTGCCTGCGACATGTACATATACGTTCGATTCAGCAAGGCTGCGGGGAAAAACGGTGGCAAGTCGAACCCAGTCAAGTGCTCCTGTTTATGCGGCATGTACAACGCAAGACATTCGGGTGTACTGCAAAGACAGAGTTCAGAGATGCTGAGCCTGTTGTCAGATGAGAGGTTTGCCTATTTCCCAGCTTGAGAACAGGTTCAGGGTGTTACGGCGATGGGTAGTCCGGTCCGCTCGATGCTTCCTGGATCACCATCCTCAGATGAATCAATGTGAAAGGATTCGAGAGAAGCTATGCCCTGGCCTTGCTAGCTTCACTCTCAAAGCTTTGAGCTGCGTAACTTCTACGTTCTGAACAAGTTAATGCGGTCTAGGCTCAGTAGCGGCACATGCCCGGCGTACCCGGTGGCATCATGTCTGGAGGCTTCGGCGCCAACTGCAGTCGCTGATTGCAGGGACTCCGACTCAGAGGTCCATGCAGGCAAAGATGGGCAAACGAAGCGTCTCACAAGAACTCGGCGCTGAGCTTGTGATGGCCGATGTGCGAAGCCCGCACATGTGTCAGAAGGCCTGGCAGGCACTTCAGACAGGGAGAGACGACGGTGTGCGCTTTTGACTACAGGTGGCGAAACGAACTGATGTCCAGCACCTGTATCATGTCCCACCAGCCATGGACGTCCGAGGCCCGATGCGGTCATGCCCACGGATGCCGATTTGCTGGACCTTCAGCATCGACCGGCTCGTGGGGATGTCTGGTAAATCTGCTGACAAAAGCCTTGACGGAAATGCTACCGTGCTGCTACAGCTTAGAGTCTTAGAGCAGCGCATGGGAGCACATTTGACGCTGGAGGCTTTGGCTGCGTCCTGCTTCGGCACAGCTTGACCTCGCGCAGGAGAGTCCAGACGTAATGTTCTGGGCCGGGGTTGAATGCACAGTGTCATGAGTGGGGCTTGAAGTGATTCGGCGGTCTTGTCCTCTTTGCCGTTGAAGTTCTGGCTAGTTCAGGGTCGGGTCTGAAAACCAGGAAGTGGTTGGTGGTGCTAGCTTACCAAGCCGCTGGTACTGCATGCTTTCCGAGCAACATGAAATCGTTTTGATGTGTCGATGCAGGCATTGTGGAGAGACGTTCGGCAGCAGCTTCTCTCTTCGGAGAGGGCGCGGCAGTTAGTTTGGAATTGGAGCCTGATTCACGGGTGTGGTGGCCTGTAGGTCTGTAGGTTGTGGCGTATGGGTTCTGATTCCTCGAGAAAGAGAAAGTCGCGGCGAAGTTTGCTTGGCAGCTGAGAGCTCGTCTGCTCTTTGCTCTTCTAAGAGAAGTTTGAGTTGTGAGTTGTGGGATGTTTTGTGAAGAGAAGACTGAGATATGTTGTGTGAGTTGTGGGGGCTGTTTTGTGAGGCATTACGCCAGGGGATTGCGGAGTTGCCGGGCACCAAGTGGCTGACGCTTTGCAAAGCCGCGGGTGTTGCCGGCATGGCCGGCTCTCCACAGGTCAGCAATGGCGGAGGCGGAAGCGGAGGCGGAAGCGGGGTCTCTGATCTTCGGCAAAGCTCGCAGGCAGCTCGAGCTTTGCTCAGCGCGGCCGCTCTCTCCCTGGCAGTGTCACCGAGCGACGGTGAGGCCGGCACCGCACAGCCGCACATGCTTTGCCCGAGACCAACCCGGGAGTTTTGTCCTGCATGAGAGAGAGAGAGAGAGAGAGAGAGAGAGAGAGAGAGAGAGAGAGAGAGAGAGAGAGAGAGAGAGAGAGAGAGAGAGAGAGAGAGAGAGAGAGAGAGAGAGAGAGAGAGAGAGAGAGGGAGAGAGAGAGAGGGAGAGAGAGAGAGAGAGAGACAGAGAGAGCGAGCTCGTGATGCGAGAGAAACGTGCGGAGCAGGGCCCCTTCCCCAGTGGCAACAGAAGCGACACAGCCAGCCTTATGGACAGTGCGCAGGCAGCTCTGCGAGCTTTGGCGCGGCTTTGTGCAGGCATCGCAAATTCAATCGTTTGCTGAGGGCTCCATCGTCACACCAAAAGGCCCCCCAGTAATGACCCCTTGGACTCGAGTTCAAGCACCGTCGACAGACCGAATTCAGAGCTTTCCGTTGTCTGGACCCTGCAACCTGTACACCGATTCCCTTGTTCATCAATGCGGCACAAGCAGTCGCGGGCAAGTAGCCGCAGGAACTTGGAAGGGAGAACTCCCTGTTTGTGACAACTTTCCTGCGACTGCTTGTGCCGCATTGCTGCAGCTAGAAGTTAAGTTCTGGTATTCGAAGGACATTGCGATGATCTTGCCCCACAGTTGCAGGATGCTGCGCCCCAAGCGCAAGTTCCCAGGCGTGTCACTGGAGCTGAGAAGCCGAATGCGCACTTGAGGCGATGCCTGTTCTGCTGTGGCTGGTGAAAGACCCAGTTCCGATTCCTCGAGCCCTGGCACCCACATGCAACCTTTCGGCCGCTCATTGCAACTGATGGCTCAGGCGGATGTGACGGGAGCCACTGGCAGGTGCGAAGAGCGATGGTGTCGGTGAGGGCAGGGCATCAGCAACATGGGCTTGCACATTGGGTCTCTTGTGGTATGGTGTTTGTAGGCCACGCACCGCATAGGTGAAGCTTGAACCCCGTCGCTCATGCAGTATCAAAGAGAGTAGCTTGCTAGTTCCACAGGCAGAATATACATCGGTTTGGGCAAAGCGGCAATGAGCCGCCCTAATGTGCCAGCAGCAGAAACGGATCCAGCAACCAACAGTAACGGCATGCTCTATTCCACTATGCCATCTGCAAGTGCCAGCCTTCACCCTTTTATTCCGTGCAAAAGGTCGAGGTTGGGAACCGTCAACAGTGTGCCATGGGGACTCCGTGGCCACCATGTCGAGGGAGCCCGGTGACAGGGAGGTGGAGCTCTATGAGCAGCTCCTTTCTCGCGGCCCGCCTTTCAGAGCTAGGCCAAATCGGGAGAAAGATAAACCAGAAAGAGAGAGGAGGTCGAAGATTGCTGATGCCGGCTCGCAGATCTGCTCGCATGTTGCTTGCATCGTGCCTGCGTGTCGCGCGGAGAGTTGCATCGACCACTGACATTGTGCGTCACGGTGACTACGAAAGTGCGTCCCCTCGGGACCACGGCTTCCGCATTGGACATTGACAAGCTCCCATGTCCGGCTTGCAAACGCGTAAAGGAGCCTTCGAAAGGGATGCACAAGCTTGGCTCGATTTAGGGTAGCGAATCAGTGACATTCTCACCCCTCATTTTGACCTGGTTGGCCCTTTTTTGTGCTTTCTGTGCGATCACTTGAATGGCCGAACCTGCTCCCAGCTAAAGGCAATTGCCCGGTCAGGCTATGATGTAGCATGCTTGGCTTGCTGTTCCTCTAAAAACGGGCCGAGAATTTTCAAGTGCAGACAAGCCTTCAAGATGGCTTTTGATTTGCATTTTCGGAATCGTGCAACTGTAAACACGGTAACACTGTCGCGCTCTCGCATGGCTCTGAGTTCCGCACAACTGGCAGTGGTGGCAGTAGTTCGTAGCACGCGTAGTCGCAGTCGCAGCCGCAGGAGGAGGAGGAGGAGGAGGAGGAGGAGGAGGAGGAGGAGTAGTAAGTCGTCGTCGTACCTTTGTATTCTCCAGCTGTGCTGAGTGGATGTTTCATTTGATTCATGCATCCTCACTCACCTGTATTGTTGTCTGTAAGCGGAGGAGATCAAATGCAGACAACCTGCTATGTGGACCCTCGGAAGTGCCATGTGAGAGCCAAAATGCCGTCGTAGTACTCGTGCTAGTGGTAACGGTGGTGGTGGTGGTGGTGGTGGTGGTGGTGGTGGTGGTCGCCGTAGTAGTAGTAGCAGTGGAAGTAGTCGTAGTAGATAGTAAATAGTACTACAATAGATAGTAGGTAGTTAAACTAGCAGTAGTAACAGTAGTAGTAGCAGCAGCAGTAGTAGTAGTAGTCGTAGTAGCAGCAGCAGGAGCAGTAGCAGTATCAGTGGCAGTGGCCGTGGCTGTGGTAGTGGTAGTGGTAGTAGTAGTAGTAGTCGTCGTCGTAGTCGTAGTAGTAGTGGTGGTGGTGGTGGTAGTAGTAGTACGCTTAGTAGTAGTAGTAGTAGTAGTAGTAGTAGTCGCAGTTATAGTTTCAGTATTCATAGTTGCCGTAGGAGTCGTAGTGGTCGTAGGAGTCGTAGGAGTCGTAGGAGTCGCAGTAGTAGCAGGAGTGGCAGTCGCTGTGGTAGTGGAAACGGTAGTGGAAGCAGTCGTCGTAGTTAGTCGTAGTAGTAGTAGTAGTAGTAGCAGTCGTGGTGGTGGTGGTGGTGGTGGTGGTAGTAGTGTAGTAGTCGCCGTCGTAGTAGTCGCAGTAGCAGTAGCAGTAGCAGCAGTAGTAGTAGTAGTAGTGGTAGTGGTAGTGGTAGTGGTGGTGGTGGTGGTAGTGGTAGTGTAGTGGTAGTGGTAGTGGTAGTGGTAGTAGTAGTAGTAGTAGTAGTAGTAGTAGTAGTAGTAGTAGTAGTGGTAGTAGTAGTAGTAGTAGCAGTAGTAGTAGTAGTAGCAGTAGTAGTAGTAAGTAGTAGTGGTAGTAGTAGTAGTAGTGGTAGTAGTAGTAGTAGTAGTAGTAGTAGTAAGTAGTAGTAGCAGTAGTATTAGTAGTAGTCCTGAGTATTTGGTAGTTAGAGTTGGACCGTGACCCATACGCACCCTTGTCATTTCCGTCACTTTTCAGCTGCTCGACTCGGTATTTGCGAAGTCTCCGTTGTTGGGGGCACTTCAGATTTTCAGGCCCTTTTGAGGGGTTCGCAAATTTCTGCTTTGCTGCTTCCGAGGTTTTGCTATGGCTTGTCTGATTCGGGGGTGACGGGGGGGGGGCGGGGGGGGTGGGGGGTGGGGGGTGGGGGAGGGGCTATCAACGTTCATGTTGTAGTGTTGGTTTTGCTGTTACTTCTCAAATCAAAGGTTTGTGAGGCAGCTTTTGTGTCGGGCCGGGGGAGTCAGCATACAATGTTGCACCGATCAACGACTGCTCGAACATAAATGCATCTCCTCGTCAAAATAGGCATTCGCTACTGAGAAATGACCACTTTGCCAGTAGCAGCTGCTTTAGCTGTTCGGCGTGCACTTCGAACATCTTACTCGGAATGATGTCTTAATGTCTTGACTAGAATTTTGCGCTGCAAACCATGTTTGCTAGTGATAGTTTCTATGCATGAATATAACCTACATCTATATATACCTCTCTAAATACCAGGGCCGACTATGTTCAGCGAAGAGGCAAATCTTCAACTTAGCTTTCGCAAGTGCAGTGTAGCAGCAGTTTCTGCGTCGCGGGGTGTACCGCAGTCCAACAAAAAGCATTGCACCAACCTACTTGCGAGTTTTTTTTAATAAGCTCTTTCCTGAAAGTCCCTGAACTCCGAATGTATGGCCCCTGCCAGTGTTTGCAGCATGTCAACATTACCGGAAGTGCCTCTAGTTACAGGGGCGCAAATGGTGCACACACCTAGTAGTTGGTAGGCAGTAGCTAGTAGTTAGCCGTTAGTAGCAAGTAGTTCGCAGTTAGTAGTTGGTAGTAGTAGTTAGTAGGTAGTGGGTAGTAGGTAGTAACTAGTAGGTAGTAGGTTGTGGGTAGTAGTAGTCGTAGTAGCAGCAGCAGCGTGTTTTGTTGTTATTGGTTAGAAGTAGTAGCAGTAGGAGTAAGAGCAGGATTAGGAGTAGCATCACCAGTATCAGGAATCAGAAATCCTCACGATAGCGAGGGACAGAAACTCAGCAATAGTCGTCATTGCAGTCTTTTCATAGTCGTAGTTGTCGTCATCGTAGGAGGTGATGACATGGATTGTGAAGATGAAGCGGATGACGTTAGTAAGAGGTGGGGGCTAAGCAGTGGGGGCTGAGCAGGGGGGAGGTCGCAACTCGGGCAGACGGCTGCATCTGCGAGTGCTTGTTTGGGCCTAGGCGAAGGGCTTGCCTGTGGTGTGCTGGACCCAGACTTCGCTGATCCTCTTGATGGAAAGTTGATCTTGGAGAGGGGCTTTCGGTACACCCTCGAGTTGGAGTGTGAGGATGAGTCCCTAAACTTCTCACGCGTGGTCGGGTCCGTGCGCTGTGAAGCGAGAGATGGGCTGAGTGGTTTTGGCTTGGCGATCATGGAGGTCCCGATACCAGGTCATGGATCGCCATCACAATCGCAAGAAATCCGCGTCTTGGTCTTCACGAGCGAATCAGATCGAGATGCGCTGGCCAGTTTGCTCGAAGATCTGCAAAGCGACCGCCGCTCTTTCCGTCGGCGTGGTGCCTCACTTCTGGCCTGTCTGCCCGGCGCTTCCAACTGTCTGGCAGGCTGTGTCAAGCCGCTGCGCAAGGCACCCACTCTGCCGCACGACATTTCGGAACTGTCAGCGCGACTTTCTCGATCTGGCGATGCTTTGGGAAAGACGCGGCCAGACAAAGAAGGATGCACGGCAAATCTGGACGACTTCAAAGCATTCGCCAAGCAGATGTTTGATCGGCACGCGAATGCTGCCACCATGCGCTCCTCGCCTTGACTATTGATTCCGCCTCTCAAGTCAATAATTTCGAGCCGAGTGCTACTTTCATGGAATGCCAATAGACCGAGGAAGAAGTGGAAGCTTGGGAGACATTTCCAGTGCATTCCGCCAGCCCGCGCCAAAGTCGTGTTAGATGTTGCCACTGGTGCAGTGCAGAGATGAGGTCCCTGTGGGACATGCATGCTCTAAGGTACAGTCGACGGAAAGAGACGAAAGAAAGCCACGTCACCACGAACACAAGAGCATCCGCAAACACTGGCACTGGTGGTCCCAGTGCCAAGGCGCAAACCTGCCCACGTCGGTGCAGCACTCATGACAGATGCTCTCCTAGCTCCTTGGTTCAGGGCGTGAAGGACCAACTGCCACCCAGCGAGGCAGCGAACCTCCTTCACAGGCCCCGAGCACAGCAGTTACTTCCCGAAGACCCATGGTTATCTGGTCACGTTTTGGCCTGCAGCACTGCACTGGCACATGGCATGCCCCGTCTCCCTCTCGGTACTTCGGCAGCCGAAGGTGTGCACTGCAAGCTTTTGGCCGGAGTTTCCGAAGCCAGGCTGCTCTTCCAGGAAGATGGTCCGCCGGCGGTCGATGGCCAGGAATTCGTCTGCTCTGGTTGCGCAGCGGGTAGCAGGGTAGCAGCAGAACATTTCTGTCCACTGCCTCAGGGAACAGCCGGGTATGCACTTTTCCCACTGGCCGTGACCTTCGAGAGCTTTTGGTCTATCCTGTGGCTTGCCTGCCGTTCGCTTTCAGCCAGACACATGCACAAGAATAGTCCGTCGCTGCAGTGAACCCATAACATCCCATAGCCATAATTCAGCGAGGCAGCCCATGCTGTTCACCGAGCAGCTGCTCACCGATCCCAAGTTGCACAATCGCGCCCAGTCTGCCAAGGATGGCCAAATGCAAGCACGACACGGCTGCGTCCCTTTTGTGCCCAGGTCTCGGGGACGGAGGCTCGATGTCGCTGGAGAAGTGGAGCTGGTTTCTAGTCCAAGTCCAGAACGAGGAGCGCGACTGGGCAGCAAGTATCGGAAACAAAAACGCCGCAAGAGATTGTATCAAGACTCAAACCTGCTCCTGGCCTCCTCGGTGCATGCGAAATGCATGTCAAAGGCGCTGTGGTTGAGGGTGCTGCAGCACAGCTCAAGGACATGGAGGCCACGTCCATGCTCACGAGCACTCTGGGCGATGTGTGATTGCTTCGAACTGCTACAAGATCGAGAAGAGTAAGTGCAATAGGCGCCTGAAGCACTGATCTGTTGCAAGGTTCCTTACGTCGATGATGAGGGTCAGTTGAGCGTTGCTGGACTTTCCTGCTCGCTTTGTTCACCCGACAACGGTGCGACTTGGAGCAAGTTGCAGTCGGTCCTACATGGTTTGCCGTTGCTGTTGTCTGGCGAGATGGGAAGGCAGTCTTTTGCAAAGGCACTCAAGCCAGATCTCTACCGTTCGCACGATGACATGACCCGGCCGTTGACGGAGTACTGGATCGCCTCCGCTCACCATGTGCTCTTGGAGCTTGCACCCCCAAGCCCGGAAGGTGGGCAGAGTCAGTGATATTTCAAGATATTTCAATGGAGCATTTGTCACGTGGCTGGAGGACCGAATCCCACGAAGACAGCGGAGGACAAGGACAAGGCCTGCAGGGAAAAAGCTGGTCTCTCACCAACTGTCCCATTGATAATGGCAAGCGAGACCCCAGGACGGACAGGGCCTCCGGCCAGTGACGAACGCGCTGCGAGCCGGATGTCGGTGCATCAGCCTAGCACTCTTGGAGACTGCATCTGAGCTTCAGGCCGGGTACTGTAATGTATAGGAAGCAAAGTGTGGACGGTACAGATCGAGCAAGGTAGGCTTAGGGCGTGCATTGGGTTGAATCCAACGATCCGGAGAAGGTCAGGCGTTAAACCGATCCGACTAGATAGGAGAAGTGGAAGTGCGATGCTTTTGAGTCCGCGAGGTCGTACTTCAGCAGAAGCGTGTCCCACTGGCAGACAGGGCCTTATCGAACGCATTGTGACTGTTTAGGATGTCTGCCATTCGCCATGAGGACGTGTTGGAGCTGATTTCGTCGGAAGGTCGCTTGGCTTGCAAAAAGCCGGGGCAGGAATCGCATGCACCAGACCATGACATATATAACTAGCATTAACCAACAGATGCAGAAGAGGCACACCGCAAGTCCATGGAACATTCGAGGTTTTCAGACGGTCCAGTATCCACTTCTGCCGGGGACCTGCCATGTACTCTCCACTGTGGGTGTGGTCAAGCGTGCCAAAAAATGCGATCTGGGTACAGCAAGGCTGGTGCTTTGCTTGCGGCAGCTCCCTTCATCGCAATCGCGTGGGCAGGCTTCCTGGTCTAAAGCCAGAATGTTGCAGTCAGCCGCAACTGCAAACAACCGAGCTTGGCAAGCTTGAGTGCTTTCGCAGGTCGCTGAAGTTCTGTTTGACAAGCTTGGCGACCGCCTGTGGAGGAAGTGTTTGCGAGCATGCCTGCCACGACTTTCGCCGTCATGGAGCATGAACAGGAGCGGGCCGGAGATGCCGTCACCGGAAGCTGCCAAGGGCCACGTGGTCCCATGCCCAACTGCTTTAGAATCTACAAGTCTTCAGTGGCAAATGTTGAGACTAAGGTGGTCGTCCTTGCACCGGCATGTGACATGGATCCGGCACTCGAGCCGCCGAGACCACCCATGCGCAAATTGCAGAAAGGCCCCCTCTGCTCCATGTTTATGAGACCGAGAAGTGCAGAATCGCACGACAAACACCCCAACGAAACACAGCTGGCTGTTTCGTGAGGCTACAGCACTCGCTGGCAAGACGCAGAAACTTCGGATGAAGTGGTCGAGGCCAGTGTTGCACAGAGGCAGGTTCAGGTACGATCTCCGCTCCATGATGCCTAAAGCCTCAAAGACCCAAATGTTGTAGCAGAAGTTGTGCGGCTATTGTGGCTACCAGTCTTTGCTTTGTCCTAGGCTTGGCAAGAAGCTGCCAATCGCTTTGCCGTGTGGTGTGGACAGGCTGCGGATTTTCTGATCTACTCTGTTTCATGAAGACATGGGGACGACTGAAGTCGCGTCTGCTGCAGGTGTTTGATCGGAAGTTTGCTCAGCAACCACCCGGTGGCATAACTGCTGCTTGAAGCGGGAAATGTTGGTGAATGTGCACCGTAGTGCCGCCTACAACCGAGTGGTCGGACCGACTCCGGGATGGGTTTCTTCAGCCCACTGTTGTATAATTTTGGCGTCACATAGACACTTGCTGTACTTGTCCTCATTCAAGTTCTGCAGATTCGCAAGGTTGGCTTTTTACCATCGGATGAGCTTTGCAGCCTTGCAGAGTTCAAGCAGCCGCTTTTCTGCACCGGCCGATCTGTCGTGAACTGCAGTGAATGGTCTACGCTGCAGGCAGACAATGTTGGAATACCACAGGCAGCACCACGGCTGCACTTGTCAGGAGTTCGTGGTTCTGCTTGGCTAGCAAGGGGAGCTATTCAGCCCTTTGAAGCCCAGGTACCTGACGTTGACCTTTCCACTGGCCCCTCGAGATGCGCCAGTGCGATGCCAAAGAGTCGCAGGGAGTCGCACGAGGGCTGGGCGGCTGGCCGAGAGCGCACAGGTCAACTACAATTTGGCAGCCGCATGGTCGTGCGGGGTCGGGCGCTCAGGCGCCGTCCCACCGTACCAAGACTTTGGAGCCGTAGCGCCGTAGGTCCAAATGGCAGCCATGACCGTTGCTTCGGGCGGAACTCGAGGAGATGGCGCCCGCGGCCTCGGTCCAGGTCATTCCAGCTCGCGTGGAGCTCGCGTGCACACTCACCATCCAATGATCCAATTCCAGAGCGTCACGAACAGTGTCCTCCGCGCATGCGTGTCGCCAAGAGGTGGCCTCGAACTCGTGAGGAAATGATATCTCAGCACTTCATGCGTGACACCCGAGCCCCAAGCCACGGCAATGAGAGAGAGAGAAGCCTCGGCAGTGGCCGGTACACAGGCTGAGACGAGGCGCGAGGGCGGGGGTATTTAGTCGCTGTAAAGGTCCGGGGGGATTGCACCGGAGCAGGCCAGCGCATCGATCAGCCAAAAGGAGTATCACAAAGACCACAGATGCCGGTTATCGCCCGCGCGCAGGGAGGGTTGACCTCCTTTGGCCGAATGCAAGCAAGCCTCCGGAGTACGTAGCAGTTGCGAAAGGTTCCTGCATCTCGCATACAGAGGGATGCTGAAAGACAGCATGCCCGAAAGAGCCCGCCACGGTCCCGACCCACCCACACAGAAGTCAGTTGTGTGACGTTGTCTTGGGCAGAGCCCACTGCACCTAGCCGGCAGATGTCAAGAAATGCGAGCGAATTGATACGACCGAGGCCACAGTTCGAACTGTGCACATCACACGTCGTCTGTGCCTGAGGCCACGCTTGTACAAGCCGGGCTCTTCTCGCTCAATGGCGGCTGTGGTTATGTCCTGATGCTTGGCTTGCATAACTGTTTGTTTTTCAAGAGGTACTTGATTCCTGTTTGACGCTTGCTGCAGCGCTTTCGTGCTAGACCTGCTAGACCACGCTTTCCGTGACAGTGACACCTGTGATTTTTGTGATTGCTTATGTTGAAGCTCCCCTGTGCTGCAGAAAGCCGCCGTACTTGAGAAACTGCATCCGACAAGAAGACAGCCTTGAGGCCGGGGTGCAGAGACGCCGAAAGTCAGTGAGGAGAGTTCGGTGCGCGTTGAGGTGGCAGCACCACTACCCAAGCCGATCTACCTTGAGGTGCCGGTGCATCTCTACTTTTGGATACGCCCGCTTTCCTTTTATAGTCACAGTAGTCACACCGGATGTCTTCGGCAAGGTTCGATTGCTTGCTGCCCGAGCTGTGCCCGGCATGGACGAGACTCCATGGCCACGGGGGCCGGTGGCAAGGGGTCCCAGCTTTAAAAGTGGCGGATGTTGCCCCGCAACAAACTTTGTAGCCTTAGAGTCCTATACAGATAAGAAAAGTTTTTGCCCGGCTCTTGTGTCGTTAGTTGGACTACAGCTTCTTCTGCAGGCTCATGGCGATCTTTCCAATTGAGTCCAGGTTTTTGCCCGAAAGATATTCGAAGCTTGCTTGTCCGGCTCCTTGTAGATCCAGACGGTGCAGCAAGGCTTATGATATCCCATCCTTTCTAGGCCGGTCAAGGTAAATCTCGCATTGCTGCCGTGGGGAACGAGACGGGCAAGCAACTTCACGCCAAGCCAGTGGTGAATAGCGGAGTACATTGAGGTCCTCAGCGCCAGCATTTGGGGTGCTCCGTCGGACTGTGCACGTCAGGAGAAACTCAAGACCTGGCCTGTGTTTGCGTTTGACTCACACACTAGCTCCAACAGGACTATCAGTCCATCCGAGCTACCGGCGCAGTCCTCGCCTGGCCGAATGCCCCCCGCATAGCACGATCGACATTCACAGAGTACACTCCATGAGCATGAACGCAGTTTTCACACCTATCCCAACACAGGCCGCGGGGCTGGTACGGTACTCAGCTTGCGAGCCTCGCGTAATGAGAAAGTGCACCTGTTTGTCGAGGATGTGTCTGCTTGGACTGAGGGCTTCAACATCGCTTCTCCTCAAGTTGCTATCCTGGTGGTTGCGATCTCGGATCAGTTGAACAGCAGCAGTAGGCCAGGAAGCAGCCAGCGCCAGCGCCAGCATTTGCGGCATTTATTTGGTTTCAGCAAGAAGCCGGGTGGTAAGTCAGCGCCATTCAGTATGCCAAGATGGAGCTGTTCGAGCTGGACTCTTCGTCGGGAGGCGCGCTAGCCCTTCACCCAATCCAGTAGCACGAAGCAACTTGCGTCGTGTAGTAATGAGATAGATCTTTTTCCATGGTGCATGCTATGCCGCTATGCGATGTGCTGGGAGCTGCTCATGGAAGTTGCGAGAGGCTACCATCGAGTTGCCTTCTTTGCATCCCCAGTGTCAGCCGCCAAGATGCAGTCGCTGGCAGCAGAGGCAAGCAAGAATTCAGCACAGGGATCGGCACGACTTGGACATGATTTGCTAGATCTTTAAGCTACAGTGTGCGTGAGGAAGCGCATGTAAAGTGCTGCCGTGAGCGTCCTCGCGCATTGGACTGACCTGGCGCGCAACCATTGAAGCCTAAACTGCATGCACGACGATGTGTGCAGCAAGGCAGGCTGCAGATGTTTGTCACATTGCGGGTCGCTTCGTTAGCCCAGGCATGGACTGCGGCAGGGGTTGCGTTGGATGCCTCTTCGCTCTCATGTGGGCAGGGAACTTAGACCGTGACAAAGTCCGGAAGCTGTTGGACTGTAATCAGCTCTGCGCTTCGTGTAGCATACGATGCAAATGCACAGATCTGTGGCAAATTTCACGTACCTCAGGTGCAGTGCAGGCTACGCTTCACGGTCCTTTGTCTGGGATTCTCGCGCACATCTCCCTCGTGGAAGGTGGCACAGGGCCCACGAGCATGTTCTGCAGCTGCCATGCCTTGTGGCGTGATATGTCATCTCATTCTAAGGCAAGCGAGCATCCCTCCAAAGAGGATCCCCATTGGCGGCTTCTGGACGCTTCTGATTGCGGCGCCGCCGGTAATTCGCAAGTTTAATTTTGCATGTGGTGCAGGAGAGTTCTGGCTGTTGAGCAATGGTGAATTCTGATGTCGATGATTGTGTACGGCATAGGGCCACCAATCTCCGAACAAGCTGCCAGAACATCAATGGTTCATGGGCGTGCAATGTAGCCGTTGCGAAGCAAGCATTGCATGCCATGCAGCGGCCCGCAACCGTGTACAGTGCTCTGCCGTCGGTCGTACAGATCTCTACAGAATCGTGCAGCAATCGTTGATTTCATGGTATTGCCGTGAATCTCTTTTGGCAGCAAAGTTGCACTTGCTCCTGCTATCGCCAGCTTTAACTCCTTGCCCACTCGACTTGCTGCGACACGGGCTTAGCAGGTGTGCCCCAGCTCAAGGTGGCGCTGCAGAGCTGGCCGGGAAGCTCCTGCCCGATCCTTGGCCATGGCATGCTGTCGCTGCTGGAACCCCTCACCCGCGAATGCATTCGATGTACATGTTGCGCACATGCGAACTTCCTAACCCCCACCATTCTCTGCAATGCCGGTGGGAGTCTGACCGTGCCAGGGAGCAGCTGGGTTACGCATCTATTGAGGGTGTCCACCCCTCAGTGGCTGCCTTGACGCCTGTAAACAGAAGCACGCTATGCTGTCCGGAACTGCAGTAGCCGAGCTGGTCAGTTTGGAATCCTTTGTGTCAATGAAGTAACTTACTGTAACATTAGCTTTGAGTTGTTAGCTCGTCTTGCCGTCACCAGCAGGATCCAGCCACTGCCGTCTACTTCCTAGCCGCTGCACTGCTCCGATCACCTTTCGAGGCGTTCAGCAGTCAACATCCACGACAATTCCAAGACAAAAACCCTTCGTGTTCTCAAGGCGGCCACATCAAGATCCGTTTCGCCTTTGCTTACGGCGCTCTCTCCTGAGCAGACAGTAGGAGTACTTGGGCGACTGTGGCTACAGGCAGGTGAGAGCGAGAAACAGTAGCAGCAGCAGACGAGGCTGGCTCGGCTCCTGTGCCAATCGATCGAAGCCGCCTCCACGCAGCTCGAGAAGCCAACCCTGAAAGAGGCAGCCCGGCACTCAGACCAAGAAGCTCTAGCACTGAGCTGCCCATGTGTCCATGTGTGCCCTACTTTTGCCCGTTGAGATCAGCCTGCAGGATGCCCTGGAGAGGCGAAACTTGAGAGTCGGCGACCCAAACGCTGCAGTCGGCTCACCTGTCTTGAGCACATCTCTGGCGCGTCAGGCATCAGGTGCCTCTCCTTTTCGCTTCCCGTCCGAGGCCTTGCGAGGGCCTCTGCGCCGATGGCGGGACCAGCTGCACGAAGGATGGGTATCGGATGGTATCGAGTGAATGCACAACACAGCTTCCGCCGGCAACTGCCGACATCACACCGCCGAGACATGCACGCACTGTGTCTCAAACCGGAAGATGTTGACGCACTGAGCGCATCTGTCACAGCTGCCAGCGTGCATTCGACATGATCTTCACTGGGACACACCACCGCTTCAATTCCTGCGATCGTCCAGCAGGTTCAAAGAATAGCCAAGTCGCAGTCGCGGCCTTGGAACTGCCTCGCAAGTTGAGAGGCTGGGAAGGGTCTAGAGCTGTCCCGAGGTGTGGGTCAGCAATTGCATCGAGGCGCTGGATGAGCTGTCGCTCTACTGACCGCAGCTGGAAAACGTCCGTTGCATAACCAGGATAAGATCTCCATGCACCCCTTAACATGAGAGTCGCCGAGCCATCTGCAGACACGTAGCCAAGACTCGACCCGATGCCGCGCTGTCCGATTCAGGGCAACCGGCACAACTAAGGAGCGGCAAGCCTGCGACCTTTGCCGCTCGGCTCATGCAGGGCTGGGACTCTGACTCCGCCTTTGAGCCGTGACGCCGGCATCCCAGCTTCTGAACATTGCGGCAGGGTTTCCAGGACCATGCAGGTGGCTGTGCAGTGCGGCAATGCGAGGGTTACTGCTAGCAGATGTTTCTCTCGAGCAAACTTATAAAGTAACTGCCGTCCATTTGAAGACGGGAGCGTTGCTGGGCTCCACCATGGCAGCACTTCTAGATCCGGTGGTGGACGTGCTGGAGGAGGGCAGCCATCCGTTGGACTCGCTTTTCAAGCCCAAGCGTGTGGCCGTGATCGGTGCAACAGACCGTGAGGGCAGCGTCGGGCGCACTCTCCTTCGGAACCTCATCAGCAATCCCTTCGGGGGTGTTGTCTACCCTGTGAACCCGAAGAGGGAGCACGTCTTGGGCATCTCCTCCTTCAAGTCCATCGCTGCCTGTCCTGGCCAGATTGACTTGGCTGTGGTCATCACGCCGGCTTCGACTGTGCCTGCTGTGGTCAAGGAGTGTGTGGACAACAAGGCGCCCCGTTCTTGTTGGTTTGCGAAGGTCTCAAGCCTGAAGCTGGCACCTGTCACTTGCCCGGTCCTCTTGTTTTCGTGGCTCTGCAGGTGCGGAATGTCATTATTATCTCGGCCGGTTTCAAGGAGGTTGGGCCAGAGGGAGAGAAGCGCCCTGGCCATTCCGAAACGGAACTGTAGGAGCCTAGAGAGTTTACATAAGCGGGCTATGGACCGGCCCTGTCCTTGCAGTAAGGTTGGAGAACGAAGTGAAGGCGATTGCCCAAACTGGCAATCTGCGAATAGTCGGACCAAATTGCCTAGGCATCATTTGCCCCACCTCGGGCCTGAACGCATCCTTCGCAAACTTGATGCCGCAGAAGGGGAGCGTTGCATTTATCAGTCAGAGTGGTGCGATGATCACCTCTGTGCTGGACTGGAGCGTTTCACAGAAGGTTGGTTTCAGCGCGGTCATCAGCATCGGGTCCATGCTGGACATGGATTTTAGCAGCATGATCTTCTATCTCGCCAAAGATCCGGCAACGAAGAGCATCGTTCTTTACATGGAGTCGATTGGCAATGCCCGAAGCTTCCTGTCTGCTGCACGAGAGGCAGCCCTGACCAAGCCCATCATTGTAATCAAGGGTGGCCGTACGGATGCGGCCGCCAAAGCTGCAGCATCCCACACAGGTAGCCTGACTGGGAGCGATGCAGTGCTCGATGCAGCCTTCAAGCGAGCTGGCGTGCTGCGTGTCGAGAACATGTCAGATCTGTTCGAGATGGTGACTGCGCTGCATTGGCCGCTCTGTAGTTTTGGTCATTGAGCCCCTAGATTTTCTGCCACACAAGCTCCTCGCCATGTCGCAGCCCAGTAAATACCCAGCAGGAAATGTTTCCGAATGAATCAACTTTAAGGCTGAGCAGTTCCTCCGTTGGCTCTTGAATAATCACTGCACCTTAAGATTATGGGCCCTTTCACTTCTTGAGTTACTCGCACTTCATGCACCGAGCGTGTGGGCCGTGTCAGGGTCTCGCCTCCTTAGGCGGATGTCTTATCCAAGCAGCCTCTGCCCAACGGCAATCGGCTGGCTATTTTGACCAACGCTGGTGGGCCGGGTGTTCTGGCATGCGATGCCCTGGCACAGCACGGAGGCAGCCTAGCCGAGTTGTCCGGAGAGACCATCGCATCTTTGAATCAAGTTCTCCCGCCTGCCTGGAGCCATGGGAATCCTATCGATGTCTTGGGAGATGCGTCGGCAAAGCACTATGCCGACAGCTTGGAGATCGTGGCCCGTGATCCCAACTGCGATGGCCTCCTCGTGATCTTGACACCTCAGGCCATGACGGCACCAACTGAGTGTGCGGAAGCATTATCACGCTATGCCAAAATACAAGGCAAGCCAGTGCTTGCTAGCTGGATGGGCGGCCCTGATGTTGCTCCGGGTGCGAAGGTCCTGAACCATGCAGGAATTCCGACATACTCCTACCCAGACATGGCCTGCAAGACTTTCAACTACATGCACCAGTATCAAAGCAACCAGGGTAGCAACTACGAGCGCATCGACTTGCAGATGGACTTAGAGAAGGTGCAGGCCCCACTGCTGCATTTTTGGACCATAGGTCTTTCTCTACCATATCGTGCCAAGCTATGTATGCGAATATGTTGCCAGGCCCGCAGAGAGTTGAGATCTTTGCCAGCTTTCAAAAGGCTAGCGGCCAACATGACATGTGCCGACAGACTGAGGAGAGCAAGGCAGAAGCACGGCAGCTGCTCTCCAAAGTCCGGGCCTCTGGGCGGTCACTGCTGACGGAAGCAGAAGCTTGTTGGCAACGGAAGGCCACTTTTTCGGGGTCAGTGCGGCTTGGTTTTGGACATCCAGGCTCTGACCCTAGGCAGTGCAAGAGAAGGAGCCTCAAGAGTGAACCATGAACTTAGGAAAGCAAGCTGCTTCTCAAGGCTTATGGCATCCCAGTGTCTTGGCCGAGTGTGAAAAAGAGCTGAGTATTTGCGGGATCCTATCCAAGTACAGCTCGAGAGGAGCTCGGACACTTCAAGTTTGGGGTGTGATAGAAGGACTGGTGTGTCTTCGACAGCAGAGTGCATGGGACCCATGACCGAACAAGAAGGAGTTTGAGCAGGCTTCTATCGAAATTCCACCCTCGCACTCCCTAAACACACGACCTGTTCAAGGCATCGTTTCAATGGAGAGACTTGTGCAGCTGATGATTGTCCAGGTCACCGCGTGCGAATTAGCATCTAGCGCTGACGAAGCCGTGGCTGCGGCGGAAAAGATCGGCTTCCCTGTGGTAATGACACTTGGCCTGCCAGAAGCCACGTTGGCTTTTTGATAGCATCAAAGCCTGTTTGCGCGCATGAGACTGCACAACAGGAAGCTCAATTCCACCACCATCACACACAAGACGGATGTGCCAGCCTGAGTGCGGCTGCCACTGTTTCTCATGAGAAGTGGCGCTCCCAGCCTGCCATCGCAGGTCGTGCCAGGGTCCAGCTGACTACTTTCTAAACCGATGACTCACAGCTTCACAGCCCCTCCACAGCCAAGGTTGGAGGAGTCGTCTTGAATCTGCACAGCAAAATGGCTGTGGAAAAGTCGTTCTTAGAGATGCAGGAGAGTGTCTCCAGACTGGCCTCTCCGGAAGGCTTTGAGGGTGTCACGATTCAACCTATGATCTCCTTGAAAGGCGGGGTTCGTGTCGCGGGTCATAGCGAGTTGCAGAGGGACAGCTGCGGGTCAAGATAAGTAGTGCGGAAGGAGGGAAATATGAAGCGCAAGGCGTAAGATGCGTAAGGATCAAAATGAGCCCTTCAGCAGTTTACTGTAGTTTGCTGTCGCAGGCTATGAGATCATTCTCGGGTCCTCCATCGATCCACAGCTTGGGCCGGTCCTTTTGTTCGGAATGGGTGGCTCACTGGTGGAAGTCTTCAAAGACTCAGCCGTCGGTCTGCCTCCGCTGAATGCCAATCTGGCTCGGAAGATGCTGGAAGAGACGAAGCTCTATAAGGCATTGCTGGGAGTTCGAGGTATGAAGAGCGTGAATATCGAGGCCCTTATCCAGATCATGGTCCGCTTTTCCGTCCTTATCGTCGACCTCCCAGAGATCTTGGAATGCGACATCAACCCGCTCATCGCATCTGAGGATTCCATCCTTTCCCTGGATGCCCGTGTGGTGCTCCACGACCCGAAAACTGCACCGGAAGACTGGCCCCAACCGGCCATCCGACCTTATCCACATCAGTATGTTAAGATCGTTGGCCTCACAGACGAGATGTCAGTCCCTCGTCGAAGAAGCAGCTCTGTTGTCTCTAAGTCTCTAAGTCTAAGTCTGAGCCTAAGCTCTACAAGTGCACTACAGAATCACACTGCCGACTGCTTTGTTCAGGCCAAGATACGACCGATCTTGCCAGAGGAAGTTGGGTCCCGGTGTCACTGAGAGCACTCTTGCGTTCTAGGTTTCGGATTGTTTTGCGACTTGATGTGTAATCCTGCAGCTCAGCTCAACTACACATGCGGATGGATTTCGGCAACCTTTCTGTCCAGCACCGTCCGATTCTCTTTGTTGAGCGCCCGGCGAGGACGAGGGAATGATGCTTTTCTTTTACGGCGCAGCCTCCTGGCCAAGCGGCTGCGACCCCACGTCCATGCCAAAGGATGAGGCACGCCAAGAGGGAGTAAAGATGAATTCCGAAAGTAGGCCAAGTAGCAAGGATAGGTGATTACCGCGAGAGTAGACTTTAGCGGCTGCGCATGTGCTACTTTGCGTCCTTGCGGTGCGCCTCAGCTTTGTCATGCCAGGAACAGATGACATGCAGCCTAAGCCGCACTCACCTGATCCGGACCTGCTTCGTAGACTTTGACCGATCGATCGTCTTGGTTGCGGAGGTTGGGCAGGGAAAGGAGGGCCACCATAAGAACATTCTGAGAAGTGTCCTGGGCTCAGCAACTGCAAGTGACTACAGGTGGTTCAGGACGGAGAAAAGATGATCGTCGGAGCCGGCCGCATCAGCAGAGAGCAGATGAGCAACGATGTGACCTTCGCATTGCAAGTCCTTCCAAGTTTCCGAAGGAAGAGCTTGGGCTCCCTGATGCCTCTCGGCTTGCACGGCACACATACTTGATTGGTCATCGGTGCCCGTCGCAGGATGTAGCAGAGCCCCCGCGAGCAGGAGTGAGTTCTCTTCCACGAAAGCTAAGGCTGAAGCAGCTCATCGCTGTGGCAAAGGAGGAAGGGGCATCTTGCATCAAAGCCGATGTTCTCTGCGAGAACGTTCGGGCTTTGCGGTTCTTGGAGGGTCACGGGTTCCTACTCGGGGAGGAAAAGAAGGCGCTTGTGCCTGTGAGCCTGCATTTTGATGAATCATCCGGGATGAGAAGACAAACGAAGTCTTTTTCCTCCTTTGCGAATGCGCGAAAGCCGACGCAAATGATTCACTCGGAGGGCCCGGCTGGGAGTCCAACCTTCGCAGCAAGCTGAAGGCAGAAGGCAGCTTGAAGTTCTGCCAGCTGCTTCAAGCGTATAGATGGCGGGGCCTCTGCTGCAGCAGTTTGATGCCTGACATCATAATCTGCAGAGGGATGCCAACAAAGCCAACTACTCATTTAGTTTTATGTCATTGCGCTCGCGAGAGCTCGGCTTGACAGCGCACGCAGCAGGCATGAAGCCCTGTTGTGAAGGCTGTTCACTGCAAAGGTCGGTGCGAGCTATCTGTTTCGGGATGCGTGCGCATCGCTCGTGCATCATGGCATGAAGGATCGACAGAATTATGAGTAGTATGTCCTGTTGAAGTCCGCATTTCCGGTTTGGAAGCTCTGATGGAGCTGAGATCCCCGATCGGCCTTAGAGCGTTTCAGCTTTTCTGCTGTTGTTCGTCGTTACACTGATCCTGCACCGCAAAGCAAATTCCAGGCTTTCGCAATGGCCGCCCGCAGGCGTCATGGTCTGCTTCGCTTTTTGAGCCTTGAGGATGGCCAACTGGCGGCAAACTGCAGATTCGGCAGAAATAGCATAGAAAACATGGCCATAAGAGATGCATCGCCAAGATTGCCTTCGGAGGTGGACCATGCCCTTGCACCAAAGGCTGCGCTTGCTGGTTTCGCAGAGCGCCTCTTGCTTTCAAGGGGTCATGCATTGCTTTACTTGGCTGCGGTCCTGTGCTTTTCTCTGAGGCGCGCGGCCCTCGAGGCGGGAATGCGCAGCTCAAATAGTCAAGTCATGAAGAGCGACACAGACCATGGGTTGCCTTGTGTCAGGAGCACCTCTGCAGAGCAGAGCTGTCCCTTGGCAGAGGCTTCGCGCTGATGCGAGCTCTTCAGAACTCTGCTGCTCTGCCTCGCCTGTGTAATATTGTGTAATGCTGTCTGTCTCGATCGGGTGACAGAGATCGGAGTACACACCTTCCATTCAAGCGGCGTTTTGGGGTCAACCTGGGTCAGCATCATTGTGAGGAGCGCCGTGCATGCCGGGGCATCTTCCTCGCAGAATGACGGCGAGGTGATTGCTCAGCACGTCACGGGGTCCGATCAGCAGTACAATGTCAGTCAGTGTGCCCTTTGCTACAGAGTAGATTCTGGAGGCGAGCTGGGTGCTGTTGTGCACTGCAGCGGGTGCTGGCGCCATGGTCCGCCCTGCTGGATTCGAACCTTCTCCCGAGCATTTCGGAGTTATACAATATTATTACACAACCAAGCTCCTTGGGCGTGTTAGCTTATTCGGCACCGCGAGCAAGATGTACTGTAGCGTGCAGGATTTGTAAGTGACTTCCTGCAGCTTGGCACATCCTGACTGGGCACAAGCAGGCCATGGCCACCGCAAAGGATGCGAGGCGGATGCTTCCCGACCGTCTTCGAGCAAACACACCCAGTATTGTGATTGTGCCAAATATTGCCAACTTGCTCGAGCAGCTCTTGATCAAAATGAGCGTTGGGTTTGAGAGCTTGCATCGACCAACTGTTCAAAGGAGTTCAGCGAACTGCTACTTCGAGCCTGCGCCCGATGGCGGGGTTGATCGACTCAAGAGGCCCCAGAGTCAGAAGGGAATTCACCGTTTCGGAGGCTGTTGGGAGCAGTCTGTGTTTTTTTTTTTTCCGCTGCATGTGCGGGCTGCAGCTTTGACTCACCAGTCCGTGGTGCTGCTGGCCAGGTGGTCGCAAGTGTACTGGAACCTCCCTGCAGGCCAAGTTCCGGTGGGTTGCGATAGCAGAGAAACCTGGAAGGCGCACGCATGCTGCCCTGAACTCAACCCAACCCTGTTTGGTTCGCTTCGCTCAATATAATGACATGACACTGTCCGGTTGCTGAAGGTCATGGCTTGAATGACTCAACATCGTTATGCCCGCCTCATCTTCGAAATCTAACCAAGCTCGGTAGAAGGGAGAGAGTGAGAATGAGTGAGAGAGAGGCACTTCGCCGATCTTTCACCACACGGAGGCTGGCTGCTGCTAAAGCGTGGCCGAAAGCCGATGAGTCATCAGCACATGTTAGGGCAGGCTACGATCTATCTCGCCTGCTGGAGCCTTCCTGGCCAGAGGTAAACCCGCACTTGGAGAAGCACCTCGCGCAATGGACCTAGCCCCAGCTTCTGACAATGCGGGCGCTTGTAAAATCTTGCCGGAGTTCAGATATCGCCTCGTCCAATAAGCAGAGTCACGCCAGCTTTTCCAGCAGGAGTTTCATCGGTCTAATCTAAGTCTGGGTAGGATCCAAAACCACTCGTCTTGCAGCTTGCAGGGTGTGTTTATTGTGGCACATATGACTCCGAACCTCTGTGTGCCAAAGCTGGTACTCGTTAGCACAGTTTAGAAAGCCGCGGTATACGTGAAGAATAGCCTGGAAGCCAAGCCTTGTTTATCACTTCTCGTAGCAGTTGCAAAGTCCGTTCCAACTTTCGAGGGTCCGGACCCAGTCTGCACCCGAGGTCAAAGGGAATGTCGCCGGATGAGACGAAGGCTTGTAATGAGAGCATGATTCAGCATTTTCAAGTTGCAGCTCTTCCCTTCGATAATGCATCACAGGCCGGTCCCTTGCCGAAGGTGCTGGTGCCGCTCTGCGGAAAGTCTGTCGACATGCCGGGACCCCTGCGAGTGTAGGATCGCGTGCCGCGGCATGAGAGACATCGCATCCGAGCCTGCCTTCCAGGCCGTACTTGTGTGAGCTCGGCTTCGGCGTCGTGGGAGTCGAGGCCCGCTTACGGGATCCTCGGGCCCAGGCGAGCCGTGACCACCCGGGTGAATGTCGTGCCGTGGCGAGTCAGGTGAGCATCTGGATTCGGACGAGTTGGCTTTAAGTCTGTTCGAGTCGTAGTTAGCCGACATGGTAGGGTCGTGAAGACATCAGGGTCAGTGAGAAATGCATCTATGGCGTCGCAGGGCATTCCGAGGGCCATCCTCGAATTCAAAGCAGAGCACCAGATACGAGCCCTGGTCTCAGCCTGCGACCACCACAAGAGCAAAAAATCAACATCGATTGCCCAAGGTCAAGGGCATGAAGTCCAAGCTGCCCTTTGCAAAAGATGAGCAAGGCCAGGGTCACACTCACTGGCGCGCCACTTCGGCATCCCCTATCTGGCCCTATCTCTACGATCTTTTCGTGACAAAACTTTGGATCTCAGCTTGCTGTTACGTTCAGGATGGCGGGAAGGGACAACGTTCCAACCTGCCGCACAGTTCGCAGGAGCGAGGTGCCGCCTGCAATTGCATTTGTGCCTTTCACTATTGAGTGTTACAAGTTCTGTCTGCTGTCGGAGCCATTCTGACAAGTACGGCGGCTGGCCGAGCAGAGCTAGTCTTCCAGACAGGTCTGGCCAGTCGTTCAAGACAGGCGACCAAGGGCCGGGGACTAGGACACTTCGCCGGATGGCGACATCAGAATAGAAATGCACGAAAGGCATTGAAAAGGCTGAGTTGTGCAAGTTGAGGCTCGGTTACTATTCGGAGCGTCCAGCTGTGTGGCGTGGCAAGGCTGCAACGGTGCGCATTAGGGAGAATTCGCAAGCTAGATGTTGGAGAAAGGCATGGCATGCCATGCATGCCGCATCCTTCAGGAGGGCTTGCGATCAAGACATCTGCATTTGCACATGCACCAGTCGTACAGAATATCGTGGCAGGTGAACCTTGGCAGGAGGCATGCTCCATTGCACCTCATCGAGGGTGACATGCCGGAGCCCTAGCAGAATTGAAATTTTAACATAGAACAGGACGTGCAGCCAAGAATTGGCTTGTCCGAGGCTGCCAAAGAAGTTCGTTGTGAAGTACCATTCCACAGTAAAAAGTGCTGCGTTGTTGCTGATGCCGGGCAGACTTCGTCGCTGCAAGGTTCGAGGTCACGCCGGAGCTGGTTGCGGCTTCGACGTTCGCGACGGATGGCAGGCGTTTTCTCATGGAGACCAAGTTCGAGGTACATGAAGCAGAGAAACAAAGAGCCGTTCCGCGCACAGGTTTGACCTTGTTTACGATTGCGATGCATTGGTGCCTTGGCACAAGGGCGGATTCAGCGCTGTGCGAATTTGTGCTTGGGCTGGATAGTCCAACAATGCCGCCAGGTCTCGCTTCCACCAGATTGTTGGAAGCAGCACGAGCCCTACACCGCCGGAATCATCTGCCGCGATGACGACTTGGCGTGTCTTCACCCGGGTGTGGTCCAGGGCCTTGCGTTGCCAAGTTACGCAGAACCATGCAGTACTGGCATTCACAGCTGTACCAGTGAATTAATGAAAGGAAGGAATATCATGTAATTATCGGGTTCAATTCAGGTACGCGGCTGGGTTGTCGTCGTTGCTGCGAGTAGGCCGGGAGGGTACATCAGGTTCATTTTTCGTCATCATTCCTATGCACCGAAAGTTCTAAAGCCGGTTCTTTTGTGGCAGGTGGAAGGATCCTCCTGATAGTCGCCTCCTTGTTTTCGCATGTAGATGATCACCGTGAAGCTGTTCTACATCGACTCCCTACGCCTTTCGAGTCAGCTCAGGTTGTTCAGTACGACCAGGGCAAGCTCCCGTATGCACGTGCTGCCTGCTGGTTGACCTGCTTGGCCTTGCAGGGGAAAGAGTTGTGGCACGTGGCACGTGCGGATGTTTGTACTAGGCAACCGCATCAATCCGCCCCCTTTTAGTGCCGAGCTCCAAGATGCTTTGGTGCTCCTGGGTTTGCTCAACATGGATGTGGAAGACCAAGGTGACCCGCGAGAACCTCAAAGGACTATTTCCGGACTGTCGCGGGCTGCGTATGGTTTAGTAAAGAGATCTTCTTTCGACTTTGACTGAATTCCCAGACATGTGTCGAGAGCTTCGCGAGGACTCGTCTTGGTCTGTGACCATGTTGGAGACGGAGCCCTGTGATGAAGAATTTGTGTGGCAGCTCAGGTGGATCTAGTATATTCTCACGTACTTGTATGTTGAACACCAAGTCTGCATTGCATACCGCACGAAAGTAAGCAGATAACTGGCATGTACGAGTGCTTTCGGAAAGCACTCTCAGCAATTGCGGGCACAAGTTGTATTCCATGTATTTTGAGCTCATGCTGCTGCGCGCTGCCTGCCGGCTCAAAAACTGGGTAGGCACGAGTTGACGAACTAGTAGTAGGTCTTGACGCATCAGCAACCCCACGCAACTACGAAGATATACACAGACCAAGTTAATGTGGCAGGGTGTACACAGGCTGTTGTGAGGACCTGATGATTTGAAGAGTGCCTTCAGTGTTTCACCCTCAATCTCACCGAGGACAGGGACTGCCAGTGCATTTTCTGTTACCCGGTACCCTACTCAGCACCACTCTCCCCGTGGCATCCGGATAAGAAGCTTGTCCAAAATGCACTGGCGGCCCCAATGACCGCTACGGAAGTGGAGTCTGCACCGGCTTTCCGACCAGAGAGAGCCCGGGCTTAGCCCTGCCGCGGCAACCGTTGAAGGCAGGCTTCCAGAGTCGACCTGACCTTGACAGCAGACTTCAGTGATCGCTCTGTGGCGCACCGTGGCTGGGCTTGGCCATGGAAACGTCGATGTACATTGCGCCGTTTGCATCGCTCCCACCCTTGAATGACAAGCGGAGCCGCGCATGGGTCGAGGGCTAAGCAAACACCCCATGCATGGACATGCATTTCTGCAGCTTCGTGAAGGCCGTCGGTACACGACACTGGTTTGCTGTGAGATACCCTGCCAAATAGCAGGGCTTGGCATAAGCACTTGGAGTTGTGTTTGCCACATCTTGTGGAAAAAAAGTCCTTACTTAACCTTTGGCCTGCATGAGGCCCGGTACCTCGAACATCGACTTCGGTCGCTTACAGAGGAACCCACAAGGTCTTGGACTCAGCAGTGGCCGATCAGCTAGTCAGAGTCATACCATCAGTAAAGCCCTTCGCAGAGAACATGTCTGAGGATAGCGTTGTGTGAGTGCGACACGCAGTCTCAGACAGAAGACAGTCAACGACGCATGTAAAGTCATGTAAACACCAGGAGGCAGCTGGGAACTTCCACGCTTTCATGCCGAATGACGGGCCGTGTCGTCACACAGGGCAGTACTGGCTTTCCGCCCTGTCCAGGAGGCATCTTCCGGCAGCCCATTTGTCACCTTTGCTTGCCGGCCGCTGGGCCAGACAGTAGCTGCATTGCTGTCTTGAAGCCTGCGAACTGGCATAATCTGGCAGACTTGCGGTTGTGCAGCTGCCCTTACCACCTTTCATCCCGGTGCCACAAAGCTTTCGGCATCTGAGCAAGGACGCAGCGCGCCGAAAGCGGGCGAGGTGCCGAAGACGCAGCTCGATCGCAAGACTCGCAAGCCTGATCCTGTTTGCACGAGTATTCGCCATGGGCCCATATAAGCGAAGCATCCGCCAAAGCAGTGTGTGCAACCCCGCACTCCTACACACGCACCACTTCGCACCGTAGTAAACCCACAGCAACCGGTCGGAGAGGAACCTACGGGCCTCGAGCTGCGGAACGCCGAGCCGTGTGAGAGGGAAGGTGCCCGGGTGCCCGAAATTACCTATGAAAGACATGTTCCGATTCCGAGTTCCGAGATTCAGGGCAGCAAGGGATTTCTTGACTATGCTTGTGCACAAGTGTGTTCAATGGAGGCACTGATGCACAGGTAGAAGGCTGCAAAGAAGCAATGCCACAATTCCACACATTGCTTTGTTGAAATCTTGCGAAGCAGACCTTGCACTTGGACTCTGGGCTCTGTTAGCTTTTCCTCAGTACAGTCTGGATTCCGACATCTTTTGCGAGGTTGGTTTGCTGCAGGTTTTAACTTCGTTTCTCTTCCCACCGCAGCCAACTTGTTTCAGAAGCATGAGCATGAGTGTTCATGAAGGGCATGTTGCTGGCCTTGGCCAGTCCAGCACAATCGTCGTTGGTGGCGACGGAACCTTTCGGCCTCTTCCTGCCAAAAGAGCTCTCACGGATGGCGACGACACGTCTGGCGCAGAGAAGTTCCGCGTAACGACAGTCTTTGCAGCAGATGGTCGCTTTGTCCACCTCCGAAAGCCGGCACAAAGCCCGGGAGGCAAGGAGTCCCGAAGTCCGCCGCGGCCATCACCGAGTCAGACCAGGTGTACTGATACTGTAGTAACGCTAGCTCCTCAATCGCAGCCGCAAGCGAGCCAAGCAGGATCTGGCGCAGTCTGGACAGTGCAGAAAGGTGGCTGCATCGAAGTTCGGATGCCACAAACTGCAACAGGATCTGACCCTGTAAGCTGCAATCCTGCCTCAGGAAGCAACACAATCCCAAGCGAGTCATGGCTGGACTCGCGCCTGGCGCAGAATGCCCGTGCTCAGCCCTTGCTCTGGGGTCAGCGGATAGTCCAGACCCGGGACGGCCAAGGACAGCATGATCTCGAAGACAACGCGCCAAGTGCAAGTCTCGAGGTGAAGATTTCAAAGAGAAGCCCGTCATCCTTCAAGGAGAGCTCAGCCAGCTTGAAGATCAAGGCTCCTTCGATGCAGACGCTGGACCGAATCATCATGGACTCGGTTGACGGTTTGGTCGCAGAGATGCGTCCGGCCTTAGCTTAGACGCTCTGCTGCATCGCTTTGCTAAGAGGTGTTGTGGGTCTCACCTTACTTTTGCGACTGTACAGTTTCTCTCCTTCTTCGTGACTTGCCTGGCTGCACATATGCTGCGCCGGCAGCAATCCTTAAGTCGCAGTGTACATATGTCACAGATGCGAAGTGTCCAGCATAGCAAAACGTTGCCCAACCGCCGCACTTATGGGCTTACGCGTTCCCTTTAGTTTCTTCCTTTGTCTTTGCGGGTCTGCTTGAACACAACCCGCTGGTTTCTGAAGGTGCGTCAGACGCGGAACCCTGTACGATCTCCTGCAAAGTCGCCCGATGTCAGGCGGCCGCGTCTTGGGGTGACTGGCGCGGATTGCTGTTGCACACGATTATGTTTGTACAGGCCCCGGCGGCCAGCGCGAGAGCAGCCACCGTGGCGTCCCGGAGGCCAGAAGCATCTTCGAACACATGCTGGGGCTCCTGGAACGAGCCGTTACCGCGTACTTTGGCATAGTCAGCGAAATTAAGGAATTTGGAGAAAGAGTGGCAGTTCCAAGGTCAGTTCCGGATTGGGTGAAAGGTGGCCGTAATTGTTTATCAGAGCAAATACAGTAAAAGTACATGGAAAAGTGGCACAACGACTTTCGGAAATTGCCGATCTGCTTCCGGTATGCATCGAGTTCCTACGAAGATGCACAACGTATCGCGCTGTCGATCACAAGATCCCTTCAACAGCTTGGTTTCTAACTCTCGGCTAGTCCCTCTGTCTTCGCAAGTCGGGCATCCGATGCACTGCTTCCAACCATTTGCAGACGTATGCAGGCCCTCAAAAGCCATTGTCGAGCTCGGGCAGTCACAACAAGCCGGGCACTTCGACCCACTGTGTGAAGTGGCCGTCGTTTGCCTTGAGATACAATTGCCATGCTACATCCTTTGCTCATGTCATTCAACTACGCCTCCCATGTACTCAGGCCGCTTCCAGGCCCCAAGCTCGCGATGGCGAGGCCAAAGACATCTGTGCCGCGCCCGGTGCCCAGATAATGCAGGCGACTCCCCCCTCAATTGAGGTCCAAGACGGTGTACAGACAACGTGGGAGCAGTCAGCAGACCCTGCATCGTAGGTTCGTCCTAGCCGGGAAGCAAAAACAACATGCACCTTTCCAACACTAAGCAACTCTGCCAGCAGCACTTTCGCCTCCGAGGCTCAGCCGAGAGCTCTGCCAGGGTGCGCCCTGACACAGCATATGCAGATTCAGAGCTTTTCTGCTGTCGTACGCGGTGTCGGCCACGTCTGTTTCGGGTGTCTCTCTGGCTTCCGTGCAAAATGCATCCTTTGAGCTGTTCAGGTTGCCTGGTGATGCCAGCAACATGCAAAGAGATTTTTCTTGCCAGGGGAAGAAGCTTGAATGGCTGGGACTGAGCATGCCTATGGTCCGCAGCCTGGGCCAGTGATTTGCATGTGATCCTGATGGTTCCTAGATGGTTCCCCTTTGTACTGCCCGGCCCGAGCTTTGATACCCTAAACCCACCCCGGACACGAGCCAAATTTTCACACCGACTTTGCACCTAAGAACCTCGTCTGGCTGTGTCCGAGTTTTGAGAGCGTAAACCCATCCCGGTTACCCTTGCCTTGGCTCAGGATAGTGTCAGGCGGAACACTGATGGCCGGACACTTGGGTCCGGGTTTGCCCATGCCTGGCAAACCACGAATTGGACTTCCGGCCGGCTTAGATGCGAGGCTGTGAGAATCAGTGCCTTCTTGCACTATTAGATGACATTGATTTTGGCAAGAGGAGGTTGCTTCTCTTCTAGTCGCTAGACCTTGCCTTCTTGAAGATGCTCGCCCGAAGGCGTACTTGTGATGCAGCACAGTCGCAGCCAAAGGGATCGTGGCGATCTTCTCGTTTTTTTCATCGGAACCTGAGCGCCGAGGTGGCTTTCCTGGTCAGAGGCCTCCACTTTGTATGCGAGCCACGGTGCTAGGATATGTCAGGTGAGAGCCTGTGGCGCTGCAGTCTCCGCTTTGACTGAAAGAGCACGAGGAAGTAAAGTCGTGGGCCACGGGGCTTGTTGCACGGTTGCAGTGGCAGGCACAGAACGCAGCTCAAGCCTCAGAGCACCATGCCCTCCGTCGCAAAGGAAAGAGACCGCCATGGCACCTCTGTGGTGCTTTACTAAGGTTTTCCCTTCCGGACGGTGCTCTTGCAAGAACGACCGAGGTCCCTTTGCGCTTGACTGCAGCACAACAGAATGCACCCGAGCGGGGATGATGTACATGGAGCCATATTGCGCCGAACTTCACCGAGCAACGAGTGATGACGAATGGACGCAGCCTGATCAGGCATGCTTCGCAGACTCCGGCACAAGCCTAGAAGGCCAGG